GCAGACCTCTCCTGACCCACCCACTACTGCCCTCAGAAGTGTACTTCATTTATTTGCCTGTTCTGCTCCCCACTCTGTCTCTGGTGAATCCTCTCACTGCTCCTGCCTCTGGCCTGTACCCCAATTCTGTATGCATAAATAAATCTTTAAAAAAAAAAAAGAGGCAGACAAGAATGGGCCTTTCGATATGATATTCCCCTGTGACAAGACAATTAATTGGTTGGAACTGGAGACAGGCCGCGTCCCCAACATCTTCTAGTCCCCATGTCCACATAATAATATGTGCAGGCGTCCCTTCTGGCCTCCAGAGGCATCGGGTTTGCCTCACACTCTCTGGGCCTTCCAAAGTCCACTGGGGGAACGTTAACAATTTTAACTTGGCAGGTTGACACACCCAGAGACATCCAGGGGCTATCAACCAACAGAGAGGGTTGGAGGCAGTAATGAGAAAAAATACCATTGCCTGGAAGTAGTAGGCAGACTTCATCAAACAAACCCATCCCAAAAGGGCCAGAAAAGGAAATAAATTCCAAAGCTAAGCAATGCTAATTCCAAATTCCTCATTAAGTATTTATTTGTATTTAAGGTTTGGTTTGACTTCATTAATGTAATAAAATAGATCAGGTGGTAATTATCTGCTTAGGCAGTGTAGTATGAAGATCATATGTACACCATGGCCTTTATGGACAATATTGCAAGACTTTTAAACACAATCTTAAAGACATCTTTTTAAAAGATGTATTACTTTTGTAAGCATGGGAATACCAAAGCTGTGACTTTTAAATGAAAGTTAAAGTATAACTTCAGTATTAAGAAAACTGGTAAATAATTAAATGTAATGGAAATATTTTTCATTCCAGACCACACCTCCTTCCCTAATACAGGGATCTTATAAAGGGTTCTACCATTCTGAGAGCTTCTGGAAACAGGCAAAAAATTGAGAAGTAAACAGACACATTGAGAAGGGGGGAGGGGAATAGGGACTTTAGAGTCACAGGGCCTCAAGTTTCATTTGGATACCTGTTCTGCCACCTTCTTATTTGGGTGACCTCAGGCAGGTTACTAAAAATTGTTTTGCCTCACTTTAACAATAAAATCATCATAAAAATGAGAACAATAACAGTGTCCACCTTATAGAATCATCAAGAAGACCAAATGAATAAATACATGTAAGGAGCTTACAACAGAGCATGGTATACAGTAAATGTTCAATGAATGCTGACTGTTACATTCAAAACTCAGGTCCCCTTCAAAAGACTTACCTTGGATTCCCATTAAGTAACTTTTCTTGATAAAATTTTTTAAATCAGGAAAAACTGCTTTACATTCAGTATTCAACAATAATCTTACAACAATTTAGATATGAGCATATGGCAAAATTGGGTGGGGTTTTTGAAGTGAAGATAAATGAGATGCAATTCTAATGTCCAGGAACTTTCAAGATGAAACAGACCATGTCAACTCATTCCTACACACATCTAAACTGTTGCCATTATCAGAATGTAACCACAGAAGCGAGATGGGCCCCGGAACCCCAAAATGTGAAAGGATGTACATTTTAAGGGCTCAGTTATCCACACTCACAACAGCAAAGAAAGCAGATTCTTAGTGTGAATGGAACTGGTGTACAGAGAAAGAGAAGGAAAGTTTTACAAAAGCTGATTTTCAATAAAAGTCCCAAAATTACCCATCCCCTCATGGGCAAATGCCCAGCCAAACTGGTTCAGCCTGAAGTGGCACCACTGATACCTCAAAGCTTGCCACAGGCTAAAAGACCTTTTTATGGAGAACCACAAGAAAGAGGATAGGCAGGTCCCAGAGAGCAAGGACAGAAGGAAAGATCCCAAATTCAAACTGTACCATGTAATCCACCATGAGGTCAGGATAACAGCCTTCATTTTCTCTACCAAAAGGCCACTATAGTCCCTGAAGCAGCTTTTCTATGTCTTTTTCAACCACAGGATCTTTCTTCAAGTGTCTGCCCATTTGTCTCTTTCTCCTCTTCTCCTTCATTCCTCCGTAATTTATAAAGCCACTTTTGTCTTTCCCAGTTGCCCCACCCACTTAGAATGGCATGATGGGAATTGTAGTCCGGTGGGGGGAGCTGTATTTAAGTGGGAGGGGAGGTGGGATGGCCCATTCATTGTGCTGCTTTTCTCCTCCCTCTTTCATGGAGATGCATCTTTAACAAGAGGATCCTTAGGAGATGAAGGAAAGGATGGAGAAGGGTAAGAATGAGGAGTGGAGGTGCCCAGGATAAGGGCAGGCTAAGGAGAAAGGAGGAAAGGGGCCTCTCACCTAGTGATCTTGTCCTTGGTCTGAGCACATCCAGCTAGGCTCTGGGGAATATCAGGGCAGCCCAGAAGTAAGACAGAAGCCAGAAGAAAACTGCTCCTACTCTGACTGGGACTTGCAGAGGATATAAAACAGCAGGGGAGAAGGGCCCAGGTATCATGAAGTTCCCAGGCCCTACACACTTCTGTCTTTATGGGCCCTATCCTTGATATTAATAAACGAATATCACATGTTCGTGTGCACTGGCATGATTAACATATTAATATTCACCTAAAAGTTCATTTTTAATTCTAATTTTAGAAAAAAATTAAACTTTTGGGTGCATCCCTAGAAGTATTGAGGGCCCTGGAACGGATGTCTATAAAGGGGAAGTCAGCTAGGAAAGGGAGCAGCCATCGTTTGAAGTACCTTAAAAAGGATAAGTAGATGGGCCCTCCCTGGTGGCGCAGCGGGTTAAAGCACTGCACTGAGAATCTAAAGCCACTTCAGCATGAGTTCGATTCCTGCCTGCACCACATGGTGTGGCAGACCTCTCCTGACCCACCTGCTGCTCCCCTCAGCAGTGTACCTTGTCGATCTGCCTGTTCTGCTCCCCACTCTGTCTCTGGTGAAGCCTCTCACCTCCCCTGAGCCTCTGGCCTGTACCCCAGCTCTGGATGCACAAATAAATAAATCTTAAAAAAAAAAAAAAGGATAAGTAGACTCATTTTGGACAACCACAGTTGCCTTTTTCTGGGCACCGCCAGGTTCCTCAACATAACTGATTTCCCCAAATCTTTAGAAGTCAGCTACTGGTAAAGCAGACGGCAGATGGAAACAAGTCAGCGCCCTAGGCTGGGTGGGGATACCCAACTGGCAGCCAGCTCTAAAGGGGCTTCCTATCTCCCCAACTCCTTTAATAAAATAAGAATGAAGTGGTGAACACACACAGGATCACACCCTGCTTCTGCTGGTGTGGCTGACAGGACTGAGTGGCTCTGACTTAGCAAGAAAAAAGTTAAAATTTCAAGTACAGGGCTCTCCCTGGTGGTGCAACAGGTTAAAGCACCGCATTATGAAGCTCTCTGAAGCCACTGCAGCACACCTTTGATCCCCAGCGGCAGAGGTGACCCACATGGAACAGCAGACCTCTCCTGACCCGCCCGCTGCTCCCCTCAGCAGTGTACTTTGTCAACCTGCCTGTTCTGTTCCCCGCTCAGTCTCTGGTGAATCCTCTCACCCACCACACCTCTGGCCTGTACCCCAGTTTTGTAAGGATAAATAAATAAATCTTTGACAAAAAGTTTCAAGTACAAATTCAGTATTTTGCAAATATAAATCCCATGCCCCAGAAAAACGGTGAACAGCACACACACTCTGGAAAAGCCAGGAAGAAACTCTCAACTCAGTTGTAATGATAAAGGGGAGCTATGTTGATGCAAGGATCCCTAAATTAATGCATAAGGCTGGGCTTCCACCGAAGCCGGGAACACCAAATACAATCCTGCCATTTTCCTTTTACCCTCAACTCAAGTGGACACACTCAGCTGCTTCCTGAGTTTTTTTTTTTTTTAGATACTTTATGTTGCAGATTTGACAGTCGCATCAATGTAAACAGATATTTTTGAAACAAATGTGTTTAAAAGGTATTGGTAATTATTTTTTTATTTTTATTACAAAAGTTTATTTTTACATCATTTTGTACATTTTTTTTCTTTTTTTTTTTTTCTTTCCATCTCAATTGTAATCCCCGCGGGTTTCCCATCACCAGCTTCCTGAGTTTTAAACCAGTCTAATTGTGCCTGGAAGCAGACTGCCGTTTAAAAGTGACCATACTGTACCAAATCCTTATCTTGATTGATTCAATTTTGGTAATTGATTCCCTACTTTAATCCTACTAGTGGTTTGGCCGGCCGCTGGACACCGACGCTGGACACCGACGCTGGACACCGTACTAAATGGAATATGACAACTGCTCTAAGCATTCGTTGTCCCACAACAAACCTAGAAGGGTGTTCCTCCATGATACCAAAAAAAGAAGACTGAGATGAAGTAATCTATCGGAGGTCACCCCGCCTGTCCACACGTTCTGAGTTGGGTTCCAAATCGGGTTGCCACTGAACGGGCTGTTATGTATGAGGGACAGTCCGGCTCCCAAGTCATGGAGGAGTCCCTCGACACACACCCAGAACAGCATTCAAGTACAGACCCCGGGTGGCCCTTCGTCCTCAAAGAAGCCTCATCCCCAGTCCTACGTGCGCTGCTGCTGAGGCGACGGACAAGCTGCCCTTGGCAGCTGGGGCAAAGCAGCGCCTCCGCGCACCCAGCACAGATGCCCTCAGCAGGGGAAGGCAGTGTTTTTCTTTATTGGGGGGAAAGAGGGAGAGAAGGGAATGGAGGGGGTCTCCAGCAGCGGATGGGGAGCTAAGGCGTAGTTACAGACCGTCGTGCACCCGAGAGGGAGCGAGGTGACGGGGCTCGCCAGGACCCCTCAGCCATCGCCAGGACCCCTCAGCCAACCTTGGCAGCGCCCGCCGAGCCTTCCCAGGTCGCGCGTGGCGTCCCAAGCCAGGTTCGGCCGGACGCGCAGTGCAGCTCGCAGGGCTCGGAGAGGGGGCGCTGGTGGCGCCTCCGCCACCTCGG